GCGGGGTGTTATGGAACTTTTTTTGCATATATTGAGTCAGGACGCAGCCAAAACTACTGTAACGATGCAAACAGCTAACGAATAAAATTGTCAAACAAAAACAACAGAAGACCTTTATTAAGGACAATCATCCCATACAGGATTCTCCCAGATACAGAAGTAAACATAACAGTTATCCACAGAAAGTGGAGATTAACATCGACCTTTCTTCAAGTTGGATCCATCATCTGTGTTGTCCCATACAGGATTCTCCCAGATACAGAAGTAAACATAACAGTTATCCACAGAAAGTGGAGATTAACATCGACCTTTCTTCAAGTTGGATCCATCATCTGTGTTGTCCCATACAGGATTCTCCCAGATACAGAAGTAAACATAACAGTTATCCACAGAAAGTGGAGATTAACATCGACCTTTCTTCATGTTGGATCCATCATCTGTGTTGTCCCATACAGGATTCTCCCAGATACAGAAGTAAACATAACAGTTATCTACAGAAAGTGGGGATTAACATCGACCTTTCTTCAAGTTGGATCCATCATCTGTGTTGTCCCATACAGGATTCTCCCAGATACAGAAGTAAACATAACAGTTATCTACAGAAAGTGGAGATTAACATCGACCTTTCTTCATGTTGGATCCATCATCTGTGTTGTCCCATACAGGATTCTCCCAGATACAGAAGTAAACATAACAGTTATCTACAGAAAGTGAAGATTAACATCGACCTTTCTTCAAGTTAGATCCATCATCTGTGTTGTGCCTATTGTCTGTGTTAATTTCTAGAATTTTTGAAAAGCTAATGCATTGGGTTCACTACTTTTGCCATTAGAACATTAAAAAAATATATTTTCTAATCAACAAGGCGCGATATTGAAATATTTGCGCCTATTACAGAGGAAACAAACAAAACAACAAACCAATTAGAACACTTAGAATTAAATACAGTGTACTCCGCTTATAACGAAGTCGCATTATCCATGACAATCACTTTGTTATATCCGAAGTTTGTTATATCCGCAGTTGGAAAAAAAAATGTTTTGTACCAATAATTTTATTTACTATTCAACTCAAAAGAGCAACACAAAGATCAATAACAACCTCATCAGGTGTTTTTGGAGAAGTAGTTTGTGATTTTCTTTTGACATTTAGAAGTCAGTAACAAGTGCTGAACACTCTTTTCGATGTTGTCCAAGTCTGACAGATGCCTATGAAGAGACTTGGACTCATCCTGACATTGAAGAAACAATCGCAGAGTTTGAATGCTCTCCAAGACCTCTTTTGGATGCGGAATGTGGACAATTGGGTATACTTCTTCATCAACTTGGTCCGTTTCTTCTTCTTCTTTTGCTTGAAGAATGCTCTCGACAATTTCTACATCGGATAACATGGCATTTGTAACGACGTCATTGTCAGCGTCAGCATAAGAATCGAAATCCATCTCTAACGGTATTTTTAAAACTTCTTTCATCGATTTATTAAACAATTTAATTTTGTTTAAATAATGTAAAAAAAAATACTTATAATATGTTTGCATATTTTAAAATTGTATATTATTAACTTATTTGTTGTGTATCATTAAATTTGTGTCATTCACACGTTGTAATTTGATATATATTATGCATAATATATTAGTCAATTATAATGGTAAATGAGAAAACTTCGTTATAAACGGATAAATAAAAATTTATACATGCAAATCACTTCGTTATAAGCGAAAATTCTTTATATCCGACTTCGCAATATCCAGAGTTCTTTTAATGGTTTAAGCCCTTCTTTTCTTTCGTGCAGACAATTTCATTCGCTATATGCGGAATTTCGCTATAACCGACTTTGTTATAAGCGGAGTACACTGTATTCACAAATATTGCATAGAACATATGCCGAATTGTTTACATAATCAATCTTTTGACGGAAAATTTCTCTCTCCTCCTCCAGGGCCGGATAATAAAACGTGTAGCGTGAAAATTCATGGCTAAATGTTTTGGTAGGACCCAAGTGTACGAATTGCTTTGTTGTTTTGAAAGGAGAGAACTGTTTTGCGCAATTTTTTCTCTTGTAGAAAAATATATTTTATATTATGATATTTTTGTGAATATATATATATAAAATTATTATAATATAAATATAATTATGTTAGGATTATATTTAACTGCTCTTTATTTCTAGGAAAATAATTTAATATTTTTAATATATATTTCAGAAGATAAAATAAATCTCTTTTAAAATGCAACATGAGATGGTACACAAAAAGTATTTTGATATTCTAAGTTAAATAAAGCAAAATAAATAACCCTGCTATATAAAATTATTATAAATTTATCATCCAAATATTCTTTTTTTCCCCCTGAATCTAACAAATCTTTTAAAATATTTATTTAGAAAAAGCAAACTAAATAAATAGGATGTTCTCGTTTGTTATTTTTCAATATAAAATATCAAAAAACAATTTCGTTTTATTCTGATAAAAATAAAAATATATATCAATAATTTTATCTCTGAATTTAAAAATAAATGATTTATTAGAGCATTCATGAATTCCCTTTTTATATAAGAATCTATTTTTTTTTTCATTTATTTAATCTTATTAGAATAATATATATATACCTCTCTTTTAAGATTTTATTAGAAAACATTTATTTTTTTATTTTAATAATAAGAATTTTAGTACTTGCGCATATATATTCAAAGGTTTTACGTCTTTACGATAAAATTTCAAATTCGAATATTTAGATTTTAAAGTGTTTAATGAAGATATAGTAATATTTAAGAACGAAATATTGAAGTTTACCAACGGCATACCGAAATATCGACGATTTTAAATTTTAAAACAGAATTTTATAATAAAATGGCAAAGTTTGAAACAACCTTTTGCAATTATATAAGAAATTATCAATATACTTTATGTATAAACGAGTTTATGAATTTTCAAAAAAGGTAGGGCTTCAATTAATAAAAAATTCAAAGATTATTATTTAAATTAATTTTTATTATTCATTTTCGAAATTTTGTCATTCTACATTAAAATATGTTTCTAATTATTAAACACATCGATATCAAACATTGAAAAAAATCTTAGAAGCGTAAAATATTTTTATTTTTGAAATAACAAAAATTCCCTTAATTGATTCGAAATTTTCATATTGAAATATAAAATGTACTATTTAAAAATGAAGCGTAATAAAATGAAAAAGGTTTAAACCGTATAACCCCCCTCCTCCAAAAATAAGTATTAATATTATTGAAATATGATTCATAACTCGCTATATAAATTATTATATTTTTTATTTCGCAAAAGAAAAAAAAACTTGAAAAAACATTTTAAATTGTATTTAATTAAAGTAAAACACTAATCGCGTTCATTAGAGCTTAAAAATAAGTGGAAAATTAATTTAAGGGGAGGGCTGTCTTAAATTATATTTTATTTTTTTGATATACAATTAATTGCTATAAATTATTGGAGAGAAACAATTAATATACATGTGTGTGTGTGAAATTATAAATATAAATTTATCGTAATAAAATATTAAATAAAAATTATTTTAACTACATATAATTCTGAAAATATAATAAATACCCATAATTGTAATATATATTATATGCGTGTTGGTCACAGTAAGAAATAAAAATAAGCGGTGTAATAGAAAATATTAATAATGTTAGGATATATGTGTGGTCATAAACTTGATGAATAAACATAATAAGAGAAATTAATTTATAAGCTTGAGGCAATATTAATAAACTAGATATCTTAAGAGTTATGACTTCTTGGCCTATTGCGTCTTGGCCGCCATTTCAATATAAGATAAGCTTACCAGTGTTGTCGATTGCTAGCTTGATGGATTAAGGAAACTACTAAAAACTAGGTTTAATGGTCTTCTGTAAGCGCCCTCCAGCTCATTTTGTCGATAATTTTCTTCTTGTTCAGCTTCTACAAAGATATGTTTTCTAAATCCCCTCCATAAAAATAACAAAAAAAAATTAAATTCCTTTATTTAAAATTAAATTATTTTCTATTTTATTATTCTATTAAAAATTAATCTACATAATATAATCTTTTGAATTCGGAAAAAAGGAAAATAATTTATTTCTATGAAAATAAAAATTATTTCTGAAATTAATATAGAATATTATAATTACGAATTTTAAATTATATATATTTTTTAAATAGATTACCAAAAGACATTAATGATTCATTACATTTTTAAAATTTAATAAAATACGGCATAAAATAATTTTCTAAAAAAATAGAATTAGTTTATAAATCTTGCAATATTAAATTAGTTTTAAAGAGAAAAGGTCTTTCAAATTTTGCCAAAAGATGTTGGAAGACGAATAGAGCGCACCTCATTAAAAATTGAACTGAGAACAAATTTATTTCGTTTGCTATCTATTTGAATAATATATGTAAAATATTTCTTCACAAACTTTATTAGTTATATAAATATTTACGAATATTACATAAAATAAAAAAAAAACAATATAATCAAATTTTTACATTGAAAATAAAATTTAATATAAATTTTATTTTATAGAAAAGAGGCTTAGTGTATATATATCTAAAGAAAATATATAACAAGTCATATAAAACTATATTCTTAATTTAATTTTAGGGTATTATAAATTTGATACTAGTTTAAGAAAATGTAATATATTATAATATAGCAGATTTAAATTTTCTGGAAGAGAATGGTATACATGTATCAAAAGAGGCCCTTCTCCTTTTACGAGATGAAATGCATTATAACAATGAATTTTTGAAGACAGTGGTTGGTATATGTATGCCATATTCCTGCGACTTTATGTTATAATCTAGCTTGACACTTTCCCCTGTTACATTATAAGCTTATATACCTTTTTGGAAGACCTAATCGATTTTATAACTATTCCTATTGGAATCCAATAGGATGTTATAAAATCGAAGCTGCTTCTTTACTGATGAGGACCATAAGCCTTCTTGTTCTTGTTCCAAAATCAATATTTACGAAGGGAAAAATATGTCCAGGGTAGCTTAGTGTACATGGCATCTGTCCGGTAAACGAAACACTATGGGTTCAATTCCCATCCTTGGACACATTATTATTTTTTCGTTTATCATTACTCTTCATAATTCATCCTTTCATACTTCATCCCTAAGGATAGAAATAATCGTTATTTCTCCTTAAAATAAATTACTATTTTTGGTTCAAAAGAAACACTTGCGGTAAAACTGCCAAACGTCGTTATAAAATCACTTTATTAGGTTAGTAAATTAGATTTAATTGCCATCTATCGTTATAATTTTTTACAAATAAATTTACTGGCAATGTGTTTCTTTTAATATCATCAAATATTATCTCTACAGACCTTACTGCAATGATATGAGTTATTGAATGAGAGGGCTTGGCTCATCAGTAGTGAACCCTCTCAGCGGTTTCGCCAAATTAATCTCTATCATCAAATATTATCTCTACGGACCTTACTGCAATGTTATGAGTTATTGAATGAGAGGGCTTGACTCATCAGTAGTGAACTCTCTCAGCGGTTTCGCCAAATTAATCTCTATCATCAAATATTATCTCTACAGACCTTACTGCAATGTTATGAGTTATTGAATGAGAGGGCTTGGCTCATCAGTAGTGAACCCTCTCAGCTGTTTCGCCAAATTAATCTCTATCATCAAATATTATCTCTACAGAACTTACAGCAATGATATACGTTATTGAATGAGAGGGCTTGGCTCATCAGTAGTTATTCCTCTCAGCGGTTTCGCCAAATTAATCTCTATCATCAAATATTATCTCTACAGACCTTACTCCAATGATATGAGTTATTGAATGAGAGGGCTTGGCTTATCAGTAGTGAACCCTCTCAGCGGTTTCGCCAAAGAGCAACCTAGTTTATGATATTTTCCGCTATGAATAATATTTGTGGCGCTGTGTTTGTTGTTTACACACATTAATATGTTATAATACTTTGAAAAAGGTTGGCGTTCAGCCAACTAAAATATTGGTAAAATAAATTATATTTTGATACAATATATTCCTTTTCAATTAAATTAATAATATGTGAAGGTTATTTACATATTAAAACCAAGGGGCAAACGCAGGATTCGATACTGGTTCATGGTTGTCGGGAATTGAGAGTTTTGCCCACTCGTCCACCGACTCTCTTTTAGACTATAGCCCGAAATCATGGTATATAGGTTGGCTTTTTTTTTAATTGGTAAAAAATGGTGTTGTGGTAAATCCTTCGTCACCAACAGTATATTCTGTACTGGGGTGATATACAAATTAACAAAGGTATAAATCAATTTATATATCTATTATACAAATGTTGATATACAATAAGGGACAAAACTTAAGGAAGTTGTACCTTTTATCATGAATATTGGGATTCAGACAAATAACTCTGAAATGTATTACAGTGACCTTTATTGAAGACACACCAGATAACCAATATACACTCATGAACAAAACTTAAGGAAGTTGTACCTTTTCAGCATGTATATAGGGATTCAGAAAATAACTCTGCAATGTATTACAGTGACCTTTATTGAAGACACACCAGATAACCAATATACACTCATGAACAAAACTTAAGGAAGTTGTACCTTTTAGCATGTATATAGGGATTCAGACAATAACTCTGCAATGTATTACAGTGACCTTTATTGAAGACATACGAGATAACCAAGTGTGAACAAATTTGTCTGTCTCCTTAAAAAAAGCGACAACAGGCGACATCAAAATATGAAAATTTCTTAAGTTTTGTTCATGAGTGTATTCAATTTCCTTTTCATTTTCTTTCATTTTAATTTATTACTCAAAGCGTTTCGACCTTTTCTTTATTGTTTTTACCCACATACAGTAGAACCTACCTGTAAAGGACACCTAATTGCAGAGCCAAAGTGTCCTTTAGGGAGAGGTGTCCTCTTACTGGAGTGTTGCTAAATAATAAAAATGGTAATTTTACAAATGAAAATTGTCCTTTGTGGAGAGGTATCCGCTAGCGGAGTGTCCGCTAAAGGGAGGTTCTACTGTATATATACTAAAAGTGCTATATATTTAGTAGTTTAGAGTTATAGTTTGCCATATGCTCTGATGAACGTATTTATTTCTCAATAATACGTGAAACCATTAAAGCACAAATGTTTCTTCTAAAAAATAAAACAAACCTTATCTACTGTTCATGATAAAATAAATCAATTTTATAGGTTCTGGATGCCCTAAAAATTAAAATAGACATATTCCATAATATAGTTAAATTACAAACCAATTTAAAATTTTCAGTTATAAATATATCCACGCTGCGCGCGTTTGTTTTTGTTAATATTTCTGGTAGGATAAAGTCGATATTATATAGTAAGCCCGTTGAAGAGCGATTAACACTTGAAAGCTAGCGTTTTTTTAAATAAAAAAGATACTCATTGTGAGAATATATTTGTAATTTTATCAACTGTCCTTACTGCGATGAAAAAGTATTATGAGGCTTCTCTTCCAATATTTTATCATCTCAATAAGGATAGTGGAAAGTTTTGAAATATAAACCTTCATGTTTCAATGGTTACATTTAATATATAAATATGTCGTATTATTGCCTTATAATGAAATATTTTGTGTTTTCTGAAACTAGTAGCCCATTTAAACAAATAAATTCCTTCAAGACATGGACTTTTACCTAAAGTTCTTTCTACCAATCTCATGGAGTGCACCATAAACATTTCCTGGGTCATATCTAGAGACTATATTCTGAGACTAATTGGATGCCTTTCTTAAACTTCTACCATTTAGGAAATCTCTTTGATATTAAAGATAAAATACACAAGGGAATCTCCCATAAATATATAACGCTTCACCCACATTAAATATATATGCTCTAATTTAAAAATTAAATTTTGACCACTATGAAACCTATCGTTTATCATCATCATCATCATCGCCAAAAAAGAAATAAGAATAACCTAATGTGAGAAATAGTACAGAGGTGAAATTCAGAGAATAAAAAACACAGCCACAAACCAATAGTTTATTTTGACTTCCTACCTTTCAGTGATTTCCTATCACTTTCTTCAGGAGAATATGAGTCTCCTGAAAAGAGTGACAGTAGTTTACTAAAACGTTGGAAGTTAAAATAAATCATTGGTTGATTGTGGCAGTGTTTTCTCTTATTCAACTTCCAACCAATAAATGATCATCATGAAAGTAATATTGTACTCAGGTGGATACCTTAAGAAAAAAATACATCTTATATTAAAATATTAATTTATTTAAAAAATTATATTTCATAGATTCAAATACTCTGTTAAATCGACCGCCAAAGATCACGCTTCCCCTTATAAAAACTCATTGTTGTTGTTTTCCCGATGGCCGGCTCAAATCTTTTGTATATTATGTAAATAAGTTTTTCGTTTTTTTTTATTCTTACGCTTTAAGCCAGGCAGTACTTTTAGAAAATTATGTTTTTATATATTCCTTAAGCTCAATTAAAGCTATTTCTAATCTTCATTATTTTTATTATTATAGTTTCAAGATTATTGCCACGACTGCAGGCCAATATCGTAAAATACTCATGTATACCAAAATCAATCAGAATCTCATTTTTTTTATAACATACATTCCTTAATCGTGTAACTATTAATAAAATGCTGGTGACTTGCGCTATCTGCATCATATTTATACCGATAGATGGCACAAGCCATCAACAACTTTTAGTTGCACGATCAGGAGATGTCACTTTTTATTAAAAATAACCTAAGCCTATATTATTTTTCTAAAATAAATATATATTATAATGCCCAAGGTTCGTGTTTTTGTTGAATTGAATCAGTGTTATTTACGTGAACATTTCGACCAACATTTTACATGTAGACACACACCACTTTAATCGACAAAATCATCAACTTTCCCCTTATTCTCCTGATATAGCTTCTAGAAGAGATCTATGATCTATATTTAGAGAGACATGTTGTTGTCGTGTTTTTGTTGAATTGAATCAGTGTTATTTACGTTAACGTTTCGACCTACATTTTACATGTAGACACACACCACTTTAATCGACAAAATCATCAACTACCACCTTATTCTCCTGATATAGCTTCTAGAAATAATGATCTATATTTAGATAGACATCTGGATACTATTTGAATCTCATTGAAGTGATTGATATTACTGTGAACCATTTTTTTGAAAGAACAGAACAAAATTTTCAATAAGAAAAGGCACATGAACATTTGATTTTGAACAGGATCTGTCGTAGAGCTTAATCCGAAAGCTTATCTTTTTGTATTAATACGCAATGTTATCATAAACTTCTATGTGTTACTAGTTTGCAGTGTTAGTTAGAACAGATATAGATTTTCCCCTCTCCAATTATTCCGGAATTTGTTCCGAGCGTGTTAAATCCATAGGCTTAGCTGCCAGGATTACGTTGCAGTAATTAAATTGCAATCAGAAGATATTTTTATTTCCTACCAGACGATCGATGAACTATCTTCTGCTGCAATAAAAATATAATTTTCTTTCTTTCTCACTTAATCATAACATTTATTTTGTAGAAGAATAACAAAATTGGTAATTGCTTTATAATAAAAATACAGATATTAATTAAAAATAGATTAAAAATATATATTTAGTTTCATATAGTTTCAAAATATATATTTATTTTGATATTTTTTAATAATAATTTTAATTATAAATATAGTAGTTTATTCATATATATTTTAGTTAATTAAATTTAATTGCCATCTATCGTTAAAATTTTACACAAATAAATATACTGGCAATGAGCTTCTTTTAAATATCATCAAATATTATCTCTACAGACCTTACTGCAATGATATGAGTTATTGAATGAGAGGGCTTGGTTCACTACTGATGAGCCAAGCGATCTCATTCAATAACTCATATCATTGCAGTAAGGTCTGTAGAAATAATAGTTGATGATATTTAAAAGAAGCTCATTGCCAGTATATTTATTTGTGTAAAATTCATATATATGTTCAAACAAACAATTCCTTTTTTAATAATTCTCTACTATATCTCATTTTCGTCCATATTACAATTTGAATAATTTTTTTTTTCTAATTTTACTTC